ATGCTGAACTTGGTCTAGGGGGACCTGTTTGTAACATAGTTTTCCTCAATTACCCAAAATTTACACAGCAATTCCAAGCTTATTATATGGGCCATAGTATGTAATTACAGGCATAACATATTAGGTCCTAATAACAGCAAATATATCATTACACAAATCATTCATGTTCCTGTGCTGATATTTTTATATGGAGTGGGTGAATACAATTACTAATAATGACAATACCCATCTTACAGCTGCAGTGTACTTGGTGCCACTGTGACATGAAGCAGGGCAGGGGCAGGAGAAAGGAAACTTCCACTGAAATATGGTTGAGTCCATGAAATACCAAAAAACCAAGGTGGAAACGCTCTCTTTATAGTTTATATAGAAAAATTTGATTCATCAACACCCAAGAAGAGGGATCCACATTTTCTTGCTTGGATTTCCTAGTTATTTATGGGAAGGGGGAGATGGTTTTCAAGACCCCAGAGTTGTGGAGGGAGGGAAGGAATCCTGTAAATGCAGCAGCAAAGAGAGTTGAGGCAGCAGGTCACCAGGTGAGCTGTGTCTCACCTTCCAGCTTGGAAAAGCTGGGCTCAGCCCAGGATTTGTAATAAAAGTGCTTTGAGTCCCAGTAGACCTCCCCTAAAAGCTGATCCCTGCCAAAGGCACGTACCTTGTAGGGAGAAGGTGTTAGTGCTGGCATCTGTCAGACAGCCCTGGGTGGGGATTGAGGACACAGGAAGGGTTCAAGGCCAGTCCTGACCTTTGCATGCAGCTCTGTGAGGGATTTGTGTTCATACATGTGGGTTTATGAGGCTTTATGAGTGATTTGGGTTGATGCACATTGGTTCATGGGTTGATTAAGCACTGCTGTCCCAGCACCCCAAGATGCCCCATCTGAGCCCTTGGCACGAGGGCAGCTTGGTGGAGGGTAGAAACAATGGAGATTTCTTTTTCCTGTACTACTTTATCAAAAAGTTCAGGCAGTGGCTTTTGTTTCAACATATACATATTTATATCTGCTGCATAGTTTAGGCTGAGATTTGTTTCCTTTGCTGACAGGTTAACCTGCTTTCTGGGCTCTGTCTGCAGCAGCCCACCAGCACCTTTGCCAACACTAACCTGGATTTACAATGCTGAGACCCCCTTTTCCACAGCAGCAGGACAAGGGTCAGCCACTCTCATTCTGCTCAGGTCTCCAGAGCACTTCAAAGTGACAACAGGAGGAGAAAAAACCAATATGCTTGGGTCTGCCCTGAGGCATGGCCTCAGGGGCACATTGTTGGGAGTTATTAATAGGACCTAGTTTGCACTTGGCCACCTCGGTTTGGGCAGAAAGTTTCTGTTTTGGCCACATTTTGGTATGGAAATACCCCAGTTAGAGCAGAGATGATGAATGGGAACCATGGCAGCCAGAACCAGCCTGCCAAAGGGATTTTACCCAGCCATGCAAAGACTGATGGGTTAGCCTGAGTGGGAGTATTTCTATTGATGTGGGCCAGAGGGAGGAGATGCTCAGCTGAGCCTGGTGAGGGTTGTTGTGCAAATGTGGTTGTGTTGGTCTAGAAATCATATGATCATAGAATATCCTGAACTGGGGAGGACCCACAAGGATCATCAAAGCTCAACTCCCAGCCCTACACAGGAGAAGCCCAAAAATCCCACAGTGTGCCTGACAGCGTTATCCCAACACACCTCAAACTCTGCCAGGCTTGGTGCTGTGGCCACTTTGCTGGGGAGCCTGTTCCAGTTCCCAGCATCTTCTGGGTGATGTACATTTTCTTAATATCCAACCTAAACATTCCCTGACACAACTTCATGTTGTTCCTTTGGGTCCTAATGGTTACATCCAACACTGAAAGCCACTTTGGGCTCAGTGTTCAAGGATAGAAATGGTAAGAAAAAGTTATATTACTCCTCTGCATCTCTACTAACCCCATCAACCACAAGCAACAGGAAACCCTCAAAAGAAAGGAATCTGGCTTTATGGGGCAGATTATTCCACACATCTTTGAGACTTCATAGACAGCCTTCATAGACTGCCTTTCAACCCCTGGCAACCTCAAGTGTTATATAAGTGGTGATACAAAACCTGGCTTGAAAAAGTTTGGATTTAGAGGTGTCTGCAGGACAGAGCTCCTTGTGCAAGGAGGACTTGGCAGCTGCCAGGACATTATTTAACAAGCAGGTAAAAGGTGACTGCTGCTGCAAATCCTGAGCAGTATTTTGAACAAGTCTAGTAGTGTTGTCACTTTATAAGAGGAGATCCTTTGGTGTCCTTTGGTGTGGTATCAACTTGGCCACTGAATTCCTTCAGCAATTGCTAGATCAGAATTAAGGGGAAGAGCTGATGCTCATCCCCCCTGGTCCCACAGTGGGTCAGGGTCAGCTGAGCAGAGCTGTCATCCTTTGTGGGGCTGTGTGTCCAAGGCTCCTCTGCCCTCCCATCCAATATGTGGAGCTGGGAGTCGGCGCCAACTGGGAGCAAAGGTTTTGGCTCTGCTGACCCCAGGGAGGTGACAGCACGAGGGCTGTTTTGCTTCTCCAGCATGATAACAAACATCATTCCCCTGTTATCTTCAGAGAGAGAGAGAGACCTCTTGGGGAGGGGAGGAGTGAGGCAAGGTCAGCTCTGTACCTCAGCTGACACCACTGAGTGCCCGCCCATGAGAGCCTCCATGACAGTGCTCAAACTCACATGTTTGCCACCCTTTGGTAAACATTTATCCTTCTTGTTGTTGCCAGGGCTGGTTGGTGGAGCTGGGCTGAGATGCAGGGGCAGTGGCAGGGGTGGCATTGCTGCTCTTCTCACCTTGCCTGACCTCCCTGTGATTCAAAAGCACCCACGCGGCCTCTTTGGAGGCTCGCTCACTTAAATCAGGAAAACCAGTTTATTTTTTTAGCTTTTAGGGACTTTCTCTCTGCCATCACGTACTGGAGGGTGGGAATAGCAGGGAATATTTAAGGAATGTGAATATGGGAATTTTTAAGTGAGCAACATAATCCCAAGGGTTAATATTTCCCTAATCAGGAGGACAAAAAATACTGTGTGACCTCAAGCCCCAGTTGCAACCCAGTGATGCTGTCCAGCTTGTGACTTACGTATTTGCAGCCAATTCCTTATCTATAACAGGCATTGAAAGGAAAAAAAGGGTAAATAAAGCCTATCAGCAGTATTGTATCGTTGACTCTCCCTGCAGACCTTGCTTTGCTGATAATTATTAACTCAAACTGAGAGCCATTGCAGAACTCATAACTAAAATATGATGGTACTTCTCAAATCAAAAATGCTCAGGGAATGCTTCACTCTGTTCAAAGAAAGAAATGCCCACAGGGTTTCCTGTGTGTACCAGGACAACCTGGGGTTGTCCCCATTGCTCTTGCTCAAAACCCAGAAGGGAGAATTGCAGCATGGCCATGGCAAAACCTACTGTTCTCCCTTTAGGTCATCTTGTGAAGTTGTTTTGTTTTGTTCTTTTTTTTTTGTCCCCTACTGCCTTCCATTTCCCTTTTTCTCACTGTTTTCTCTGGCTGGGCCACGCACACCAGGTCCAGTTGCTTGCTGCTTCTTGAAAGCAAATGCACTTTAAACCCAGTCCTTTGACATGAGTGCAAACAGCCCTGGAGCATTTCCCACAGTCAGTGAGCTCAGCCCCTCTCCCCATTATAAGCTAAAAAGCTGGCTTTAATGTATATAATAAAAGACATCGTTAAAAACTGCGCTTTAATAAAGAAATACAAATGACAATCTAAAAATGTATTTTATTGGGCTGCTAATAATGACCAGCAGTGAGAGTGGAGGGGGGAGCAATATAATGAGCTCCTGGGAGGGGGTTTGGACACAGCTGTCCCACGTGCCCCAGCAATGTGGTAGAAGACATCTCGAGCCCACTGGGAGCCAGGGGACCTGGCACTGAGCAGCCTGGCACCCCAGGCTCAGGTTTGGCACAGCAGCTCCCCAGCTCAGGGCTCCCCAGCCCATTGCTCAGCTTGGGAAATAAGCAGGCAGGCACAGAGGAGTTCAAGTTTTGTATATTCACGTCAGTAAAACAGAGACTATTCCCTCCCTTGCCCAGTGCCTCCTGCCTGCCCGCTCCCCTCACCCGCCCCAGGGCCTGGCGGGGCTGGGCCAGACCCCACTGGCCTAAGTCAGACACACGGGAACCCGATTCACACTGAGTGCCAGGACGTGAATCTGGCCTCACAAATAACATTTCCCCTTGAGATTAACAAAACATGTTAATCTTCTTGGTTTGGAAACTCATATTTTTTTACTTGAACACAGAGCTCCGTCCCTCCATCATTAGCAGATGTCCTGCACACGAACTGCATTACCTATAAAGTCTGCTTACTCCAAGCAAATGTTTCTCCATCTCTTCTCTTTTTTTTTAACTTCAATTTGAAGTGAAAGGTACAGTATAGGATTCAAATGCTTTTGCATTACACGGGTTTCTGACCACTTGAAAAACCCCTTGGAAAAAATGACTTCACAAACCTGAAACACTGGCTGAATCATTTTGCTGCACTTCTTTCTGCCTGGCTGAACTTTCTTATGAATTCTTTTTGGTTTTTTTTTTCTCTCTCTCTCTTTGCTTTACATGGCATTTGCTTTTGCTTGTTTAATTTTATTTCTTTATTAAAAAAAAATAAATTCATAGCTCCTGTTTCAGCTCTCACTTTGTGTCAGTACTTTTACCCTGTGGATGTGTCACAGAGGCAGGAACATCAGGAAATTGCCCAAAAGGCAGAACTACAGAGTAGCTCAAAGGAAGAAGCAAACCTGAATGCCACAGCATGGTTTGGTGTTGTCCCAGCTCTTGCCCACACCAAATGCTGGCTCCAGGGCTGCAGGCAGGGAAGTGCAGGCTGCAGAAGTAAGAGGTAACTCACAGAAGGGTACAGAAATTGGGCTTTGTCACCAACAGCTGGCTGGCCTGCTTGCCACGATCTGAATGGCTCCTCTGACTTTTCTTTGGCTCAAAGATTTAACATTAAGGCAAAAATAAGACACAGTGTAGAAGCTCCATCAAATCTTTGGCACAACAGCAACAACAACAACAACAAAAAATTACTGTACACATGAGCTGAGAGGGTAACATTTCCCAGTTAAGCAAAGGGAAAAGTGCTAAATAAATTGCACGTACGAAAAGGTGGCTGGCTTAACAACAATAAGAAGCATCCCTGTCCTTTTGTTTTTCCTTTTCTTTTCCTTTTTTCCTTTCTGTTCCAGAGATTAAGAAAGTTCCTTGGCCAATCGTCATCTCCAATAGGGGTTTCTGCAAAAAAGCTGCTTTCAGTCTTCATCTGGATCGTGCAACCTTTGCCAAGACCAGATGTAACTCTGGCTGGAAGCTCTTCTGAATCCTCCCTCCCTGGTTGTTACTCCTGGAAAGAGAAAGATGCACCATGAGATCAGTGAACACGTGGTGTCCCTCGCACGGACCGTCGCTGACGCACGCGGGACCATCCTTGGGGACTGCTGGCCGTGGAGCTGCGATTTTTAAGAGCTGGGCTCACAGTGGAACCATCTGTAGGTGCCACAATGGAGGCCAGAGCCTGCACAGAGGAGAGGGAGTGGCAGAAAGGAAGAGGAAGGCTTGGGGAAGAAAAACAACACAGTAATTTGGTGTTGGGTCCAACTCCTACTGAAAAAAAAAAATTAGAAGTGATGGCAAATACCTGCTATTTTCACTTCAGGAGCTGATCTCAGAAAGCAAAGGAGTGGCAACTAGATGGGTTTAAGCAGGAGATGGGCTTTCCTTCCACATTTTAGTTGTTGTATTGAGTTTTCTGCAGGCATGGCTGCTCAGTCTGTGGGACTGCAACTTGTCCCATGTGCCTGTGCATCCCCTGTGAGTCACAGCTGTGGCAGATTACTTGGGAAATTACACTGGGCTACAGAATATTATGGCCAGGTCTGTAGGAAAATGGTCAACTCCAAACCATGGCAGCTTTAGACGAGGAAATCTCATCTAAACCCCCTTCAGCATTAAAATAAGCCCCACAAATATCCCACAAACAATGGTTAACATAGTTCAAAACAGAAGAAAATCCTCAGGGCCTGAGGATTTCATGAGATCACATCCCCATTGTCCAAACTGCCTTCATCACGTGGGCCCTAAATCCTCTTTTAAATAACTTAGGAATTAGAAACTTGGAAATGAGATCAGATTTAGCTAGGGCTACCAGTGTTTCTTGCTTTTTGCCAGTGGATTTAAGAACCTTTCAGGGCGCAGTACAGCTTCTCAAAGTCCTTTGGACATAGTCACCAATTCCCTGAACAGGTCAGCCATATTTCTGTCAGTCTTAACAAGGTCAAACTCCTTAAAGCCTGGCCTGAAAAACTTTCTTCCCCAGTCTGTTTTGTTTCTATACTGCCTCTCCTTTTCCATCACTGTATATTGTAACATCAGGGTATAAAGTACTAGTAACCTACTGGTATTTATTTGATTTATGGCTATCATTAGGGCAGCTGCTGTGAGATCAACGATTACAGCTGATCATCCATGACAGGCTAAGGGACAGGGGAACCTAAAATCTTCCTTTCACCCCCTCCTGTCAAGTGCAGACCCAGGGAAGCTCAGGACTGCCCCAGGACCATCAACGTTTCTCTTGAAAAGAATATTCCACTAAAAGCACCCAGGTCATCCTCCATGCAATAAATGCTGGTGCCTGCTGGACCCCAGATTCCTGGAGTTGTCTCTGGACAATCCTACCTAGTGCTGCTCAGAGAAGATGTAGGAACTTGCTCTAATTCAAGGCTTTATTTGGGATTTTGAATAAATGAGGTTCAGGTGGGAGAATGACAAACAGCCTTATGTATTGCCAATGTTTCTGTTGGGACCCTTCAACAATAGGTAATATATATTAATAACCTGTAATAGAAAAGTAGGTTGTTTAATTTATCCCACATTTACCTATGGAAAGAAAATGTAAAAGAAGGGAAGCAATGACTGCTGTCATTAATATTAAAAGACAGCAGAGAGATCAAAAGCATTTGTGGGTTTGGGGAAGCAGGATGGCTTTAGGAAGAGGAGTCTCAGGGCCAGGTCTCTGCTCTGAAGTCTCTGTAACTGTGGAAGATCAACCATGGGGGGACAAGAGGGAATATGCACAAACCAGGCCAGAGCATTTGTGCTGTACCTTCCAGACACAGGAAATGGGAAGAGGAATGGAGAGATGCCCCTGCAACACGATGGAGATGCTCAGCACACCTCACTGGCACCACTTGATGGGTCCCCAGGCATTGCCCAATGCTTGGCCATGGGTTATGTTTGGTGGGAAGAGGCTTTTATTTCCCCCTCCACCCTTTTTCACTCAGCCAGGAGCTCTGAAGACAGATTTATGAGCCTGGGTCTGCTTTAAACTAATAACATCAGAACTCCCATGGCTCTTGAATTTGACAACTGGCCCAATGACCTTGGTGAGTTTGCAGCATCCCGGAGCATTTCAATCTCTATAAATCAAAGCACTTCTGGAATTGAGTCAGCCTTTGTTCCAGGGCTTCTCCTGTCTCTTCTACTCACATCTTCCTTTTGCTGCAGTTACCCAATATCTGCGGGGTGGATCTCACCCCATTCTTGGCAACACCCTTGCTACAGAGGGGATGGACCTTCTGCTGGGATCCTGCTCCCACCAAGGGAGCAAATCCCTGGTCCCACCCCTGTGCTGTGACTGCTGACATGACTGCTCCAACACCCTTTAAAGCAAAGGGGCTGTGATGCAACAGGGGAGTCCCACATCACATCCTTTTGTAAGGAAAAGCTTCAGGCCCTGCTCTTTGGGGGCTGATGCAGGGTGTGCAGTGCCCTTGGGGATGCCCTTGGGGTACCTGCTGCTGCCTCCCTGCCCAGAGTTGGGTGATCTTGCTCATGAGCTCATCACAAGCCTTAGCCCCACCTGCAATCCTTGTTTTGGGCTGCAGGACATAAAAGGCACAAGTGATAAAGTGATTAAACAAATTAATCTCACTACCCTCTCACTGCCTTGTTTATAACCAGGTCCCTGGGTGGGTAATCCTTCAGCCAGCATGCAGCAGGGCTAACTCATGGCTGGGCACACCCAGTCCCCTCTGTGCCCCCAGGGATGCCGTCCCGTGGCAGATGGACAGAGGGACAGGCAGCTCAGGGCGGGCTGCTGCTCTCCTGTGGTCCAGCTCCTCCCTGGAGCCCGCGGAGCTGGCGGCCGTGGGGATCAGACTGGCTGGCTGCCCGCTCGCGCCGGCAAGTCCTAGCAGGGAAATGAAGCTATTTTTAAAGAGGAACCTCTGCTAAGGCAAACTGCAGGGGAAAGGGAGGTCGAATCTCATTATGAGACACCTCCCCCTCCCTCCCTCCTCCCCACACAGGATGGGAAGCCACGAGGAAGAAATGCCATGCAGATCATCAAGGTTTTACTGTGCTGGCTCTGAATGGTTCTGATAATCAATATCAGATGATCAATAACAGCGAGACCCTGCAGCCAGGACCATCCGCACAAACCAGGGGGTGGGAGCTGTGGCTTTATCTCGGGGCTTTGTCAAAATAAATCACGAGTCATGATACAGTGTTATCAAAAAAATATGCTCCAAGCAAATGGTTTCAGTGCTGTACAAATCAAGTCTGCCACTACCATTTCTCTTTTATAATATAAACCCTCAACTTGTTCACTCCTGCAGGTAAATATGCCTGCAGAACGCCCTCCTTCTAATTTTTTCAGCAGGAATGAGTGTTACCTACAGCAGGGGCTTTGCTTTTAGCAAAATAGCAATAAGGGGGCATCAAGGCATGGCACAACACCACAATAACTATTTTATATAATGCAATAATTACATACATAATGTCAGCCCTTTTAGTGCAGCAGGCTGCAACAAACAGAGAAGCTTTTCATTCCATATATGTTTCTATATAATTTAATTATCTGGGAAAAGACATATATACAGCTTATTTTTAATTTTTAATTCCTTGCGTCTGTGCTCATCCACACACACACAGGCACAAAAACAAGAAACTAAATTCCAGCCGAAAACTTTTATTGAGCTCCAACAGCTCGCCTGTTATTCATAACCCAGTTTCCTCTCTCACAAAGAGACCTTTCGCATGGTTTTGGTTTTTTTTTTTTTTTTTAATGTGTGTGTTTCTTTTTTTTTTTTTCTTTTTTTTTTTTTTTTCCCCCTTCTGCCTCGCTAACAGCTGCTCGCAGTGTTGTATCCTGAGTGATGATGAGGTTCTGAAAGTGTTTTTTTGGAACAGATGGCCAGGAGAGAGCTGGGGAATGTGCCAGCAGCGAGCTGGGGAATGCGCCAAGTCCTGCAGTGACTGAGTACTCCGGGTTCCAGCTCGCGTGCCTTTCCCCTGCCCTCTGCCCCAAGTGGCGCCAGCAGGACTTCCCAGCTCGCGCTCCGAACATCTGGAGTCTGCGACTGCCAGAAGAGCCGCGACGGGGGGAGGATGAAGCAGAGAGAGAGAGGAGAGAGAGAAAAAAAATCCCTCACCCATCCCTCCCTGCTCCGGCTGAGCTCCCATGGCCGCGGCGATGCTGCTGCCTAGCACGGGGGCTGATCCCGAGGGGAAGGGAAGGAGAAGGAGCCTTGCCATGGGTGTTTGGGGTTTTGGGTGCTGGGTGTGCCGTGCAGGGTGTAGGTCCGTGGCTGGATCCTGCTCTGTGTGCACTGAGTGACTGTGGTTGTGAATAAAGTTCTGCCCCACAGCTTTCGGGTCAGATCCTGTGGGGCTGGGGGGCTGTGATGTACACACAGCTCTGCAGCCTACAAATTCCAGGGAGAGCCCCCAGCCATCCACCCTACAACCTTATCCTGACCCTGAGCTGCTTTCCTGCAGGGCACCAGAATTCAGCCCTGGGGGGGAAAAGCTGGAAAGAAGAGATTCGGGGACCAGCAAGCTGGACCCCAAACACCACAGAATCCCTGTGAGGCTTTCAGATAACCCCTGGCCACTGAGCATCCTGTGCCATGCAGAAACGGGGTACTTTGGGGGTAAGGAAAACTTGGACTTCCCTTTCTCTTGCTGCTGCTGCTGCCTTTCCTTTCTCTGGGCTGCTGGAGAATGCTCCTGGCTGGAGCTGAAGGCAATTCCCCCCCTTTTTCCAGGATATCAGTGTGGCCCCTGCAGGACTTGGGGCTCTGCTGAGGGTGTTGCAACCCAGATCTCCAACGTGGTGCAACTCTTGGGTGCATGGTTAAGGACAAGGCTTAGTGCAGATCATTTATAACCAAGCAAGAGGCAGCTTTAAAGAATGAAAACTATCATCAGAATTCATCACCACCCCCCCCCCCCCCCCCGTCAGCTTTTTTCTTCTTTTTTAAGAAAAGGCATCTGAAGCTTCCTTTGTTGCTTATAAATGAGATCTCCCATCACCAAACACCCTCAGTCAAGTCTCAATTGCAAGAACTAAAATCACCTTATAACTGTAGTTAAGACAGAGAAGGGGATTTTTTTTTTCCTAATCAACTTTTGAAAGACTAAAGCCAACTTTTCTAATTAACAAAAATGGGAATAGAAAGGGGGGGGGGGGGTAAACCACTCAGTAAATTTCCTATTGCAACAGCAAAATATGAACAACAACCTAGCGTTAGGGACACAGGATAATTTGCCCCCAAAAACAAAGCAAAAGGCAACGCACAATCCAGCAAATGCAACATCTGGAGTCTCTGCCTGCCAAAACAAACTCCAACCAGCTACTTTTTTGTGCGAAAAGATCACGGTGCCACAGCACATTGCAACCAGAGAGCTGAGAGAGTGAGAGAGGCAGACACACAATAAAATGGAGATGACAGGAGATAAGGGTGTTGTGGACCCAATGTGCAGCTCAAGGAGCGCAGGTCTGTGCTCAGGATCGCTGGGATTTTTTTAAAGAGAGAATATAAAGGGAAACTCAAAAAAACCAGTAACAAAATAACAACCACCCCAAGGTCGATAATTCAGAGGAACTGCTCAGTGAGTAGTGGTTTCAGAGACCTGATTAAAACCACACAGAGCTCACAAAAACGTGCCGATCTCAACATGAATGAGGGCGCGGCGATTTTGGGCCAAGCCATTGTATCCTCATCCAGCCGCCTGTGTGAGACCCCCCAGGAGAGACATCCCTTCTCACCACCTGACACCCAGAGCTTGGATCAGCTGCACAGCCACCCCAGATCTGTAATCTCCCTCTGACAACAGCCTTTTCCTCCCCTGTGCTCACGATTTGCTTGGCTCAAGGAGAAAGGGAGACGTGCAAGATGAGTCCTCCCAACCCAGGCTTTGCATCCCCGCTCCCGTCTACGGGGATTTACCGGAGTTACTCAGTGGTACCTGATGGTTTTGGCTTCATCAGCAGCTGGATGTGCTCTTGCCATCACCTGAGCAAATACTGCTGGAAATAAAACTGTACTTGTCATCCTTAAGGGAATCTGTGTGCTCCGGGGTTGCCCTAAACTGGCAGCAGAACTATAATTTCCAGCAAGAAATGCAAGGCAGAGCAGGGATTAAGACCCTGCCTCGGGTACCAAGCCCGGCTTCCTTTTCTGAGGGGGCTTTTGGAGAAAGTTTAGGGTGGATGTCCTTCAAGAATGTGGAGAAAAGGCAGATTTTCTCCTGGTGATGCTGTTTCTGTGGGTTGGTGGTGACTGGGAGGTGCCCTGGTAATGTTCCATTGTTCAGGCACTCTTGGTTGGCTTGGGGCTTTTCTCCACACATCCACTCTGAAGGGAACCACTGAAAATGGAAGGCTCTTAAATCTTCATTTAGTTTTTAAATTAAGGATGGGCCCAGCTCTAACCCTCAGATGTAAACACCCTGGGATTTGGAGCCACTTAAAATCTGGCTCCTTGTTTCCTGTCTTTAAGCCTGCACTGGTTTACATATGCCAAGACAATGGGTCTCAGCCCACTGGGCACCCAAAGCCTGAAGAGCAGCCCAGAAATGTGCTGCAGCCCCATGAAGGATGCTCATTCTCTTCTTTCCCTCCATTGTGACTTTGGGAGGGGACCCAAGACCTAACTAGCAATCTACTAAAGCCTCACAAAGGATGCTCATCCTCTTCTTGACATGGAGAGGGGCTCCAAGACCCAACCAGCAACCTGCTAAAGCCCCAAAAATTATGCTTTTCTCCTCCCCCATCTTAACTTGGAGAGGAGACCCAAGAACCAACTCTCACCTTGCCCCAGGGTTGGTGGCACTGCTTCAGTGTCCCTGGGACACCGCTGCCTGTGGCACTACAGAGCCCAGACTGAACCCCCAGTCTGGGGCTGTGCCCTGGAGCTCCCCCTCACCTCCCAGCCCCAGGCAGTGCTGTCAGCTGTGGGCATGTGGTGCTGTGTCTCTGTCTGCCTGGCACTGCTGCTCCGTGGGCATAAACACAGCCCCTGACAGCCAGAGGAAGCAACAGGGAGTGTGCTATTGTGTTTATTTATAAACTGAATTGCTGCAGGATGATTTGTTGGGCTAAAGAGGAGGAAAAGTGAGGAAACCTGCCCGAATCAGAGGCAGATCTTAACTACACCGGGGAAGGAGCCTGCTCCCCAGCTTAGCTGCCCATTCATCCATTAAAATCCTGCTGATTTATTATCCTGCCTGACAAGCAAGCTCAGAGAGCAGGGGGAAGTTCAATTCAAGTTTACAAAACTCTTTTTGTCATAAAAGCCTGAACAAAGACATCAATCACTCCTTTAATTCACCCATGTCACTCTCTGAGAGGAAAACTGGCAGAACGCTCTGCTTCTTCCTCCCGCCGCTTGACGATGATTTCACCTAATTGGTTCAGTGTTAAGTAACCTAAAGGAATGCAAGGCATAATTAGATTTAACGTTGTTTCCTCAAGATACCCACATGTCCTTCAGGTCATACATCTTACTAATGTGTTTATACATATAATGTCTCCATTAGCTACCTTTTTTTTTGTTGTTGGGTGATTTTTCTCAGAGATAAGTGTGAGATTAAACAAAACAGAAAACACAGGAGGGTGACAGTGTTTTACAGGCTCCCAAAGGCGACTCAAGGTTGGTTTGGTTTAACAAGTAACAGTCCCAAGATGACTCTTAATGGGATCAGCTCGCGTTGAAACACACGATGGGCGACTAACGAGGGGAAGAGCCCGGCCGCAGAGGACGGGGAGGAGAGAAAAGCTTTTGATTAGGGAGGAATGTGGTTATTACAAGATCAGATGGATGGAGGAGAAAAACAGAGAGAGAGAAAGGCGAGGGAGAAAAAATATCAGGCAAATTTCACAAGGTTCAGAAAAGAAGGAAACCACTTTGGATTTTTTTTTTTCATTTTTTTTTTCCCCTCCCTTTTGTAACTTTTACCATTTTTTAGGGGGTGAGTTGGGGGAGAGGCTGTAACATACCTTCCTTTTTTTAGATCTTCCTTCTGCTTGTAAGGTCCTAGTGCACTGCTCCACGCATTCAGAGAAGCTCATGTTACTGTGGTCAGCGCTGTAATCCAGGTCTGCTAGTCTGGCCAGGGAAAGGATATAGTTACAGGCTATTCTCAAGATGGCCAGTTTGGACAACTTTTGACCATAAGAATAGCAGGGAACCTAGAAAGGGCAACAGGGAAAAAGAAATAATTAAAAATTAGGCCAGATAAACAAAATATCTCGCTTGAAGCATGACAAAACAACTCTCAGTTATTTTCTTAGCAGTTTTAACACAAATAGAAACTCTAGTGATAAAATACCATATGGTCCCAACAGGTTTTTAAGAAGAACTCCCCTGCTGATCTCCATGGGGATGAAAGCAGCACGAAGCCTCTTGATTTCAGCAGGGCAGTTCTGCTTAAAATGTGATGGCAGGACACGGCCCAGGACATCTGCCTGCTGCTCAGGTCACTTCTTGGAGGCCCTGTTTCTTAGAAACCTGCATCCCCATGACTCCCAGTAACTTGTCTGGAGTAACTTACTCCCCACGATTAGCTCCCATGTCATCACAGGTCTTGCAGAATAGGGCAATAAGAAGGCATGAGCAGTTATATCACAGCCTGGTATTTTTGTGCTCAAACATCATCAATTGCGACTTTCAGCCCGTGCAAAAACATGGTGCTGTTGAGTAGCAGGACCTTGAGCAGGCAGTAATTTCTACCTGTTTAAACACTCCATCATGGTACCTCAGCCCACAAAAGAGACCAAAACAGAGCCTGTTTCAGGGAGCTGGGTGTATCTTATGCAATTTATTTCTTCACCCTTAAAGATTTCTAGCGTAATGTGAAACATTTGAACAATTCAAACTAAACTGAATGGGTCTCAACAACTGAGCAGTATGTGGTTCTTGCTGCAGAAGGGTGGGTTGCTTCTCAATCATCATCTAGCAAAACTCTACATCTAAACTTGATTTTAGGCATAAAACTTTAAATATGTCCAGCCTAAAGAGAGGTCTTCTGAATTCAACAGGCTTGGGCACCCCATTTTCTAGTTTGCAAAATTGCTGAAGGTCACTCAGCCTTTAATGAGCAAGAGTCTCTTGCCTACAGGAAACTGAAGCTGTGCATTCATCTGAAATCCATCCGAGCCCCTCAGGTTGTCTGACCACCTGCCAAAGTCTTCACAGTCATCAATCATTGGAACACCTCAATGTTTCTCCACCACCTGCCTCCATGCCAGTCTCCATTCTCCACAGCCCTCTAGGGTGTCACACTCAGCTTAGGGCTGCAGATTTTTGTTTCCTCTTGCAGTGCTTGTGGCTCAGCTTCTCTCTCCTCCACAGGGACACAAAGATGGGATCACCCCTGGAATCCTCTCACTGACTTTACAGAAGGTAAAATGGGTTCAGCCCCACCACAAACCCCCCAGCAGCCACACACAGACGCCAAAGGAGGAGCAGAACAGCTCAGGCATAGACAGGATTTCCCCAAGTGTTCTGTCAGGCTCCAGCTACCATCACCTCCATCACTTCAGTTAGATGTGCCATCCCTGAATTTAGCAACCCATGATAGATCTTTTCTGCCCATGAACTTGCTCTGGTAAGCTGAACCAACCCTGTTGATTTTGAGGAATCACAATATCTTTTTGCAAAGCGTTCTCTCCAGTCTATGTAATTTTTTTTCTTTTTTTGCTTGTTTTGAACTTGGCTCCTACTGTCTTTCCTTGAGGTACTACAGTTCTGTATTAGAAGAGAAGACAACAGATATTTATTCACCTCCTGTGTGACATATGTTTTTTAGTTCACCATCATCTTTTCAGCCTCTTCTCCAAAAGAAAAAGATTAATCCCCCTCAGCAGACAGTTCTATGGAAGCCATCCCATATCTTTGAGGACCCTTGCTGCTCTTTCCTGAACCTTTCTTAGTCCCTTTGGAGACGAGATGATCAGAACAACACAAAGTGTTCATGCTGTGGGTGCATATATCTAACAGATGCTTATGTTCTCTGTTTTGTTTAATATTCCTTTCTTCCTAATTCCTGATTTGATTTGTGACTGCTCCCAGACACTGACCTGAGACTCTCCTTGAACCATCTAGAGAAACCCCAAGGTCTCCCTTCTCTGAAATAATGGTCAGTTCAGGGTCTATCACTTCATATGTGGACTCTGGTATGGGTTTTTCCATATGCATCACTCCACTTTATCTGTGTGGTATTTATTTCTTCTGCCATATGATTACCTCATCACTCAGAGTCATGAACTTCAGCACAGTTCACACAGCCACAATTTCAGGCAGTGGAACCTGACATTCCCTGTTTAAAGCAGAGCTAAGCTCAGAGTCAGATCCTGGTTTGTCCATCCATGATGTCCCTCCCTGCAGGAACTGGCCCTGTTTCCCTACCCACCACTGCCTGCCTCTACACTGATCACTGATCCACACTCCCAGCCAAGCTGCTTGGTTTCTTCTTCCTAGGGAAGACCTCTGCCATGGTGCTTATGGAAATCCAAACTGATTGCTTGGCTCACCCTAACCCAAGAGCACAAGGGTTTTAGTGCTGTTGATCCTATGGGCCATGTCTTGTACAACACATAGAATTCTTTAGGCTGGAAAACACCCCTAAGGACATGGACTCCAACCATTAACCCAGCACGGCCAAGGCCACCACTAGACCCTGTCCCCAAGCCCCACACCCACACATTTTCTGGACACTTCCAGGGATGCTGACTCTGCCACCTCCCTGGGCAGCCTGTTCCAATGATTGACCACACTTTTAGTGAAGGTATTTTTCTAATACCCAATCTAAACCTCCCCTGGCACAACGTGAGGACATTTCCTCTTGTGCTATCACTTGTTACCTGTGAGAAGAGACCGAATCCCACCTGGCTGCCCCCTCCTGTCATGAGTTGGGCAGAGCCAGAAGGTCCCCCCAAGCCTCCTTTTCTCAGGCTGTGCCCCCCAGCTCCCTCAGCTGCTGCTCATCAGACTTGTGCTCCAGACCCTTCCCCAGCTCTGTGCCCTTCTCTGGACATGCTGCAGCCCCTTAATGTCCTTGTCAAGAGGGACCCAAAACTGAACACAGGATTGGAGCTGTGATGTGGCTGAGGTGCCTCTCCAGAAACCAGCCATAAAACTTCAAATGGCCTTTTTTTCATAAGCACCATCTACTACTGATTCCCCTAAAAATACAAGGAATCAGAGAATAGCTTGGGCTGGGAGAGACCTTTGAAGGTCCCCTAGTCCAAACTCCCCCTGCAATCAGCAGGGACATCGCAGAGATTCTGTTTAAGAGCCCCTTTTTATCTGACAAAACCTCTCTCTAAATGCCTGCCTTCACTTTTTTTTTTGCCAGCATTATGCTCCCAGCAATGCCCCTGCCCTCAGTACCTGGTCCCCAGATGCAATGAGCTGAGTTATTTTGAAAGCAAGAGCTCCAGGCAGCAGAAACACCCAAGGCTCTTTGGACGCCAACGCAAGGAAAGCGGCAGAGACCCCAGATCAAACGGCATCAGGGAAGAACAAAGCAAGATGGAAACTAAAATGGAAGGATTCTGTGAAATGTGGGAGTAATTTCAGAATTAGAGCAAGAGGGAAGTTAAATTGAGTGGAAGGAAAATAGACCATGAAATCCTTGAGGCTGATGCACAGACGCTGTCCAGTTACAACACGAGCAGGCAGGCTAATGTCTCCTTTCCTCATCTGTTTTGCTCTTTCTTTTGTGTTTTGGGATTTTTCTTTTTCTTAAGGAAACAAAAAGAAACAAAACAAAACCCAAACTATTTTGTAGGACGTGTTTGCTACAAAAGGCAAGGAAGATTTCAGTGCTAACACAGCTGACAAAACCCTCATCTGGGATTACACAGCACTTTTCCCACACTACTGCAGCAGAGTCCAAACTGGAGCTGCCCGGTATGCCCATGGGAAGAGGTTCACCTTGAGGTGTTCAGATACTCCTGTGATGGGTGCAGGGCACCAACATTAAGAGATAAGAGGTTTTTTTGCCATGGCAACAGTGTTAGAAAAACTATTTCATAGGAACCCTCCCTGTCTTGGCTCAGCTCCTGCCATTTTAATGTTTCCTTTTGAATTAAACATGGGAAATTAGGAGAGGAATGAGCCACTTAGTTCAAATCCAGAGCCAAAACTTCCCCAAGTGTGTCTGTGTGTAACTTTGGTATTACCTCTTCTTTAACACAAAGTCTACAGGAAAGAGGGGACAGATTTGTACAAACTGCAGTAAAGGGTGTCAGTGGCACACCTGGATGCCAAGAAATCTTCAAAGTCCAACTTAAAACAGAGAGAGAGTGTTTTAGAGGTTGGAAAAACACCTGAGGCTGGTGTGGCCCTGCAGGTGTAGCCCTCCCAGCTCCCACAGAGCCTCCACACAGGTCTTTGGCAGGCAGTAACGTGAGCAGGTATCTGTCATGCTCCTGGCAAGGACCAAACCCTTTCCTTCTTGCTCCTCATGCCTGAACTGAACAGACTTCAGTGCTTTAATGGGGCAGCTGTGAGCTGAGCAGGTCCATCCAGAGCCAGGGGGAACCAGGCTCGAATTCCTGGGCAGTTAATGAAAATATTTCCCTTATCTGACCTCACTGGTCTCTGCTGAGCAGCAGCACAGCTCACCATTTTGCCTGCAAAATTTGCAGTGATTATTAAAAGGAATTAGGAAGGAACTGCAACTGATATTTCACACCAGTCCTGAGGAATGCAGCTGTCTGCTAGAAAGGCAAGGACACCAGCACCATCCTCAGCTTTGGGACATCAGCACAGAGTGAGCTGGGACCACAGGAACCAGAGCTCCAGACAGAGGATGTTTGTTAGTTGTGTCTGCAAAGGGCTCTGCGGAGTCTCATGGGTCTTATCAGTGATCCCCAGGCTGGCAGGAGTTGAAGCAAGGCAAGATGAATGCTCCTGGGACATATTCCTGTGCAGAAGAGCCCTTCTTTGGCAGGAAAATAGAAAGGGATGTGACCTAACAGGTCTGTTCTATCCTTGACGTCTCAGACTCAGGGGCAGCGCCCTTGGAAAACCAGAGATGCTCCTTTGAAGTCCGTGGGAAGTTTGCTGTGCTCTTGACCTGCAGCCAGCCCTCCTGAGGGGGGCAGAGATCCACTGCAGCTCCCCAGAGCATCACTGTTACCCACCAAAGCCGTGGGCTGAGAGCTGGTTCTGACATGGCACA